GTGATCTTCATGTGACGTGTTTTTAAACTGCACTTTAGTTCTGAAAGTGCCTCTCGTTAAAACCTGGACTCTGATTAGATGCTGAGCAGGACATTGGATGGACTGAAGCAGAGTCTGGGACCTCAGTAATTATTAGTGCACAAAGCAGCAAATATGTGAAGCTCCGTTAATGCTGAACCACAGCTACAGGTTGAAGAGCAACACCTCAGGTTATCTGGGACCAGCGTCAGTTTCCACCAATATAACTGAAGCTGTTTTTACCTGTAATGCTGGAATAACCTATTGAATCACATGATCAGTGTTTACAATCTGTTTACTGAGGTTTGAACTCTCCTCTGTGCTTCTGCTTTGAGCAGCACGTTGTGCTTCTGCCTGTTTAAATAAAGTTTTGCTGCCTGCTTTCTTATGCTGGAGTTTGAATTCATGTTTTAAAACAGTTTGAGCTTCCTGTTTGTCTGATTTACTTGATTTGCGTCTCATATCTGAATCGTGTTGTCGTGGGTCTGCATGTGTTACAGTGTTAATGGAGATGACCCAGCGACTTAAAGTGAGCTGTTTAATGAATAAAGGCTGGTAATCGATGATGATGCGAAAAGGCAAATAAAGAAACCTCTTACTAGAAAACTTTACTGACTCGAAACACAATAAGCTAAAGAAAAAGAAGAACTTGTCATGTTTCCGCTGTGTGGCAGGAAGGTTTAGGACCCAAATGCAGGACACAGAACACAAGAGAGGTAAACTGAGAGAGGCAGCTTTTATTGCTGTTGAAAATCCAAACGTGATGAATAAGGACATATAACCAAAACTGGAAACTAGAAACTAAGACCAGAAAACACAGGAAACCAGGAAGCTACAAAACTCAGAACAGACTCTGGAATAAATGGGGACACAAGGAGCTCGGAGAAACACACACAGCACAAAGAAGTGGTACAACGCAACTGAGAGCAAGGAAAATACACTAAGGGATAACAAGAGAATAGGACACACCTGTGAGCACAACAAGACCAGGGGAAGCAAAACTAGACACACTGGCTGTATCCCAATTCAGGGTCTGCAGCCTTAAAGTACGCAGCCTCAACTAGGGCTGGGTATCGTCACTGATTTCTAGAATCGATTCAATTCCGATTCACAAGGTCCCGAATCGATTTGATCCACGATTCGATTTAATTCGATTCGATTCAATTCGATTCAATTCTATTTGAATCTGGGAAATTTTGACAGCCAGAAATATTATAATTCAGATCAGTACATTTACATATTTTTGTATCTATAAAAAGGAAGCTGACACACGCAAGACTTTATCGAAGGTGTGAGCGTCACAGCAGAGGCCTTTGTGTCAAAGTAGCTGAAGATAAAACACAGAAAAACATGAAGGTGATTTTCCTGGCCTGGGATTTTATAAAAATATTCTGCAGTACATCAAAAACGAAAGAAAACCATTAATCAACATATGAACATTACCTCTGAAGTTACAGCGGTTTTATTAGAGACACGGCTAAGCGTTTTGCATTTTGGATAATTTTAAAAAGTTTACATTTGTTCAGAAGCCTATGGAACGGCAGAAATTAGGTTTTCTTTTCGGAAGTATATAAAACGAAAAAAAAAAAGTCGTCCGACAGCGCTGTAAACAACGGTAGACTTATGGGTAACAAGCAAGCGAATAATGACGAAAACAGATTTTTAGACGGGAAACTGTTGTTGAAGTACAGAGAGAGAGAGAGAGCTGTGCATCGTGGTTGAAGCAAAACAGTAAAAGTCAGAGTGAAT